TTGTAGACGGCTGGTGTGAGTTCGGGAATAAAGAGTTGCTGTTTGAATCTACAAGCTGTGTGGTGGCTCGTGGTTGTGTGCCCAGCCAGACTGCGGCATTTGTGCCCAGTCAGACTGCGGCACACCCCAGTCCCAAGGACAGGTTCTTGATGAGGGTGGAGGGAGAGCTCTGAAGGAATTAGCCTTTCAGTCCCTCAGGGGACAGTCTCCAACTTGCTGGACTCACTCAAAACTGGCCTCCTTGATGACCTGACTGGATTTACCCATCTACACTGACTGCCTCTTCTGGCTTCACAGCAGCCTCCAGGGTCAGCTGCCCAGGCCTGCCCCTGCCCTGCTGGCCGTGAGCTCCTCTCTGGGCTGCAGGTTGGGAGACTGAGGTATAGAACAAGTCCCACAGCCCAGCTCCACCAGGGCTGATGCTGCAGAGACGCCCCAGCTGCTTCCCAGCAGCCACCAGGCCTGGGTGTGCCCCCTGTGCCAGGTGGTGGTGCTGGCACCTGCTGTAGCCAACCTCCGTGCCGCCTCTGCACTGCCAGGCGAGCTGACTTGGTCTCCAGGACCAGACTGACCAGGCAGGCCCTGGCAGGCTGGGCTGGGAGAAGACAGCTGGGTGAAAAACCATGACCAGGCACCATGGCACACACCTGTGACCCCAGCTTCTCAGGAAACCGAGGCAGGAGGATGGTGAGGTTGAGGCCGGCCTGGGCACCTTAGCAAGACCTGCCTCAAAATAAGAAGGCCTGGGATATGGCCCCTTGGCAGAGGCCCCCCCCCCAGCCTGTTCGAGGCCCTGAATTCGACCCTCCATACAAGACAAACAGACAAGCAAAGACAGTGAGTTTCTATGTCCTGTTGGTCACCCGTCCTCCCCACATCCTAGTCCACAGGGTGGCCTACCACTTGGCTTCTGGGGTCACTTCTGCCTACCTGGGACCCAGTCCGCAGCAGATGGAGCCCCTCCCGCCTGGTGCTGGGCTGTGAAGTTCCCACCTTTGGAAACCCCTGGGGTAAAAATAACCCAGAGGACTCGAGTTGGATGCTGGGGGGTGGTCAGGAGGAAGCAGTGGGGCGTGGGAGGAAGAGGGCAGCGGAAGAGGGGGACAGTGCCTGGGCAGAGGGAGGCCCAGCACAGGCTGTCCCCTCCTTCCCTCCCTGCCACCCTCTTCTGAACTAGACAGGGGGCTGGCTTCTGGGTCTGGGTCCTTCTGGGTCTGTCTTAGGGTTTGATGAACTGATTTGTAACAACATCCTTTTCTGAATATATTGGGAATACATGGCATTGTGGGTAGTTGGGAAACACAGAAAACTGTTTGAGAATGTTGAAATCCAACACCATTGTCCAGGGCTGCGCAGGGCATGGTGGCCACCCAGGGCCTTGTGTTCTCCCTGTCCATATGCAGACTTTTTTTTTTTTTTTTTAATACTGAGGATTGAACCCCAGGGCACTTACCACTGAGCCAACATCCCAGCCCTTTTTGTATTTTATTTAGACACAGGGTCTCACTGAGTTGTTTGGGGCCTTGCCTAGATGCTGAGGCTGGCCTGGACTTGATCCTCCTGCCTCAGCCTCCTGAGTTGCTAAGATTACAGGCTCGCACCTCCATGCCCAACCGGCTTTCGGCCTTTACGGACCTGGGATTTCCACCGTTGCTCAAGTGTGAAGGGGTGAGGTCTTCTGGCCATTAGCCCAGCCCTCCCCTGTGGGACCTCCAGTGAGTCACTCTCTCCGAGAGGGTCACACCCACATGAGAGAGAACATGCCCTGCTGGAGGCCGGCTCGACCTCAGCCTCACCCCATGGGGACAGCCTCTGGGTCAGGCCCAGTCATCTAGAGGGACTTCCAGCCCTACCCTACCTTGCATGCCAGGCTGCTGGGCCCTGACCCCACCCCATGTGTCCTCTGGGAATTTCCAATAAGTCACCTGCTCCAGCAGGTACCTCACCCCCTCTTACGGATGCAAAAAGGGGACATCCAGAGCTGACCTGGGGAGGTGCGGCCAGCTGCCCACACTGCAGCCCAGCTCTCCGCAGCCGGGAGGTCACTGCTCACCTGCTCAGCTGTGTGTGCCAGGAGCCGCCCAGCCCCGGGGCGTCTCTTTTACCATCTAGGGGTGTGGGTTCATTGTCTCTGTTCAGCAAAGAATTGAAGAACAGGACACAGAGACAGCAGCAGAAGCAGGTTTGTTGAAAGACAAAAGATACAGAGGGAGACTTCTCGGGAGAGAAGGCCCCAGAGCTGGGAGTCTGCTGGGGAGTTGGGCCTGTTCCTTTTATGGCCTCTGGAGTTTCCTCCCGTCCTTCTCTCCTCCCTGTCCACGTGCTCCTCGCTGTTATAGGTTGGTGCCCCCCGTGTCCCCGTGTCTGTTTTAGTTTTTCTATTGGGTCCCCTGCTAGGGAGCACGAGTGCAGAAGTGTCTGCTCGTCAGGTCCCCACGAGTCCACGAGGTCTTTCATCAAGCAGCAAGGGGGCCTCATCAGAAGACCCTCTCCACGCTCCTCGGTCCGGCCCTGCCCCGACCTCCTCAGTCGCCATCCTGCCCTGGCTGCCTGGGCCCCGCTGCAGCTCCCTCGTTTCCGCCAGGACCTAAGGGGACAAGGAGAGAGAGGCCGTCTCTAGCTGGCAGGGCTTCCCGAGGGAGGAGGGGAAGATGGGTGGCAATCCTCTGGGAAGCCCTGCAGGATGACGGCCCCCAGAAGGGCGAGGGTAGGGAGAGACGCCCTCCTGGCCGCACTGCCACCCCTGGGCCCAGACGGGCAGAGACTGGAGCACCACCCGGGGTATCTTGGGGGACTGGGGAGCCAGATGGAGCTTCGGTCCCCTTGGGGAGGAGGAGAAACTGGTGGGAGAGGTCCAGACAGGGTCGTGGAGAGAGGGAGACACGTGGGAGGCGTCAGCGTTGGGTTCCCAGCTCTGTCCCCCCTTTGCTGTCCTCCACGCTGGTGCCAACACAGCCCTCCTGTGTGCTGGCCAAGCCGGCCAGGCCCTGCAGCGAGGAAGTGGCCCAGGCCTTCACCACCACTTGACTGCCTCTGGGAAGCGAGGGGGAGCATTTGATTCTTACCCATCACATCACCGTGATTCTAGGAAGGCTCCAGAGAACTGGGACTGAGACTCACTTGTCTTACTGACTTCGACTTTCTGTTCACTGAGCCCCTCTGCAGGACCCTGCCCTGTGCCCTCACCAGTCCTCGCAGCCAGAGAAGGAAGGGCCCTGAGTGTCTCCAGGTGCATCATTGTTCGTGGGCCGTCAGACCCAGGTCAGGCTCCACCGTCGTTCATCCCTCCTGCCCCCAGCCAGGCCAAGAGCTGAGAAAGTGGGAACAGAGTCGTGGGGGTGGATGCACGGCTCGTCGTGCAGGGGCACCCAGTCCTGAAGAATTTCAAGGCAGTCTGGGGGTTCCTGGAACCCACACATTGAACAGGAAATGGTGATTTGGTTAGAACCAGAAAGAGAAGTGACACTGAGTGCAGGCAGAGCCCCCAGGCCAGGCTGGGCCTGGGCTAGGCTTAGGCACCCCATCTAACCTTCAGCCCCCACACAGGTCAGCCCCTACACAGGCCTCTATAGTAGAGAGAGGAATCAGGTTTGAATGGCAGAAAAGCATTATGACCTTCCGGAAGGCATTAGTTCCCTTTCTACCACCAAAGAGCTGTGTCCCAGTTTTATTTTTAACCCATGTCTAATTTTGTTATTCTAATCCTGTGAATGTATTCATTGCTGGCCCATATGGACAGACTGCAATGACATGATCTTCCTTATTCAACTTTTTGGTTTTCCTCCAGAGTTGATAATTGCTTAATTTTTCTCCTTGCTCAATTTCCTTTGAATCAGACCCAAGTCTCCCCCACCCCACCCCCTCACAGGTCTGAAAAACACTTCTCAGAATAATTCTCCACATGTGAGGAATGTCAGCTCGGCTGTGTCTGATGAGGGCTGGGTGTCCCATGCAGGTCCCTTCAGTGCCAGCCCAGCACCTCTGTGCACTGGGCCTGAGCCCCAGCCCCTCCTGGGGTGGAGCAAGACCTCCTAGGGTGAGAGAGGGAAGCAGGATGCTACCTCCCACAAAGGGAGAAGCCACAGAGAGGAAGGGTGGGGAGGAAGTGCCTGTCCTGGGCCTGGCTGTGTGGGGAGCTGGCTGTGGGAGCAGAGGTCAGGACTGGGGCTGCAGAGGCCCACCCCCATCTCTTCCCTACACTCACCGGCTGCCCAGCACCCCCAGGGCCTGGGGTCTCCCCTGCCTGTCTTGTGTGGCTCAGGGGATCCAGGGAGAACTCCGGAGCTCACCTAGAGCCCCGTGGGTTTCTGGGCTCACCCCTCCTACGCCCTGCCTCCTGCCAGCCCCGCCTCCCGCCTCTGCCTGATTCCACCCTGCAGGAGGAAGTCACTGGGGGAAGGAGTCAGAAACAAAGAAGAGGCGACCTGGGGGCAGAGACAGCCAAAGGCTGGGCTGGTCAGGAGGGAGAGCCAGGCGCCAGCCACTGGGGAGGGGAGGTGGGGAGGGGCCAGAAAAGCAAAGCCAGAGAAGGAGGCTGAGGCCGGGAAGGCTGACCAGCTCTGCTCTGCTCACACGTAGAGTTCTCCAGGGACCAAGTGTGTCCTGGCTCTGGGCTGACGGCTCATTCCTCTCCCTGTTCCTCTGCTGGACTGGACCACTGGTGCCTCTGAGGGTGGTGCTGGCCTCTCAGTTCTCCTCCCTCACCAGGCCCCCAGGCTCAGCCTCCAGCCTCCCCTCAGTGCTAGCCCAGCACCTCTGTGCACTGGGCCTGAGCCCCTGCCGCACATCCTCCACCAC